GTTAAGAGAAAGGCACTTATCCACTATTGTTTTTGCAAATTACCAATACTTGTGTCACACCAGGCATGCAATTTGTGTTTTCATGTCTATCTTCATTTCCTTTTCTTTCTGAAAACAAAAAAACTGATTGAACTATATGTGAATATTAAATTAAAGCGGCTGTCACCATGAAATCAGTGACTGTGCTGAGGTGCACTCTAAACTCAGCAGGATAGGAGCACTATGAGTGCAGACTTTTACAAGGTTGGTGAAAAAAGCATTAAAGTACATATCAAAGAAGAAGAGCATGTCAATTATTTATCAAAGTGAGGAAAAACCACAAGGGCAGATGCGTAAACAAAGGTAAGGTTCTTAAGCATGGTGGTGGAAACAGAAAAGGACAGGACAAATAGAGGCCAGCAAAAGCAATGTCCAGCACTCACAACCACACAATAATGGCACAAAACTATAGAATATATTAGATATTCTGACACAAAATCATACTTCAAGTCATTCCATAACTGAGTTAATATTATTCATCTTTCTTTCTTGTTTAACCACACATTCCTGCCAAAAGCATTAGTGTTTCTACATGTGTATACAGATTTAAGTGTTCTTTGTGACCCATAAAAGCTGCAGGGTGTAGAGAACCGGCAGCATCAGAAGCATTGTTTATTTGTAGGAAAAGGTCAGCATCTGCACATTTACAAAGTCTCTGGTATTTACCTCAATTTGCAAACATGTAAGCATATGTGCAGGAGCAGTCAAACTTGATTGCATTTACTGTCGTACGTTATACGTGTTTGCATCCATAAAAAACACATTTGTTGAAAAATTGTGAGCTTGAATTTGAAAAGGATCCCTGTATGAACTATTACCTATTCTGTTTAAATGTGTACAAGAGGGAGAAAAAAAACAGTGACCAAATCGTTGAACCATGAACTTGGTTAGTGTCGCCTTTGCAGGTCCATTTATCACCCTCGATACTGTGATATTAAGAACCCTGGAGAGGCTAGATATAAGCAGCAGACATACAGCTCCTCCTCTCCCTGCTTCTACTAAGAACAGAAGCCTGATTCTCCCACCTGCAAAGTCTCCATCTGCTCCCTCTACACGGCACAACAACAAAAAGCTCCATAACCCAATACACAGTCAAGCCAACCTTGACTGTAATACCCTATGACAGTTTGTATTTGACACAGGCATATCCGCTTGATGCTTTGCAGTTATTTTCAGCGGCTACAATTGTCTCTAGAATAAATGCATTCGATGATGCTCTAAGATATTTTTCTGTCTTTGCAAATTACATTCTGGCCATGCTTTATATTGTGTCTCAACTCTTCAAGCCGGTGGTCTGCAGTGCATCAGGAAGAGATGGTGCAGCACACCAAGAGCTGGAGAGGAGAGAGGGTGAGTGTAGGTTTTGATACTGCATTAGTTATTCATGTGTGTCTGCCCTAAAGACCAAAAAACCTTCCCCAAACTCCCACAATAAAGCAAATGTGTAGTAAAAAGGAGCAACATAGACCCCAACAACCTCCAGAGAGGAGATTTATGGGACCTCCATGAAGTGAATCTTCCAGAGGTGATGGAGGAATGAGGGCACTTTAAATCCCATTACTATGTGATCAAAAGTTGTTTCTCACTCTAGATTATCCAGTGAAGGCACAGTAGGATCCTGTAAAGACGAACCTGAACTCCTGAGAGGTAAAGTATTGGCCGGTAACAATGGTGGGAGCGTGTGGAGCACATATTTCTCTTCATTAAGCGATAAATAATGCAGGGGAATCATATGAATAATTTTCTCCCTAATGGATATTGCATGCTGAGAAAGGATTTCCAGTTCCAGTTTTTAAAAATTTAGCATGTGAAATGATGCGTCGCTATGTGACAAAGTGATTTTTCGGGGCAAGAGGAGAGTAGCGCAAATGCATCAGAAAGCTTTCCGGGAAAAAAAGCAAGACAGAGAATAGAGAGAGAAAAAGACAGAGACAGGGACCTTTCCCACTGAGTTCGACAGCATCAAATTACTTACACTGACAGGCCTTGCCTCAGATATGGCAGTAAACACCAATATATTTGATCTAATTGTTAAACATTAGGGGTGCTATAAATCATTTCTATACTGCTCTACTTTTCCTTTACACTGGAGTTTGTGGTGATTTTATCTTTTGTATTAATTTGTTTTGTGTTGTTGATAATTTACATCAATAGCACAGAACAAATGGATATAAAAGAATACAGCTGTAACTAAAAGCCAAAGCTGCTGGGTGTGGGTGGTGACCATTAAAGAAAGTTTAAAGAGATGGTAATCCAGTTATGTCTTTGATTAGAAATCAATACAGACAACGCTGAACATATGGTTGTCAAGTGTGGAAATTACATTTCCCATCTGTCTGAATATAGGATTCCTCACACTTTATTCTCCTCATCAAAACTCTGAGATGACATATCCCAGATTGCATGTACATTGGGAATGCAGCCTGTCATCACTGGATAGGATAGGAAGCCTGACAACCTATAGAAATTCAAATAGTATACCCGATAAAGCATGCAGACTTTTTCATAACGGTGCGTTCGGTTGGATGGATGAGTTTTTACATCACAATAAAATGTCTCTTCTTGTTGTCAAAGTGGTTCATGACTTGCAGTGACACATCTGTGAAGATATGGAGGAAACAGCAAAAGCATATGACAGATTACAAAGCCTGGGTATGAAGGATATGGACTTCTTTCATACTTTTTCAACCCCTGTGATGCTACCTGCATCCAGCAGCATGACATACAATATGCATATGTTATCAAAGTAAAAATCTGGCATGAAAGTTTAATGAACAGAGGAATAGAGGGAGCAGGGAAAAAGAGAAGCTGATTTGCTGAAGGCAATGTGGAATTGTTTTAGCGAAGCGTAGCGGACAAGAAGCAGGAAACCTGGGAGAAGAACAATCGCTATAGGCATTTGCATTTCACGTGTGAATGTAAGAGCCACCACTGCAATTATACATACCACTGAGTAAGGACATGGCTGCAATCCACAAAGCAAATTTCCATGCTTTGAACAGAGCCACAGCTTGCCTGGGGACTTTGCAGCTCAGGTGGCAAGCATGGTTAATCCACCATTTGTGATGACTTGTAAGCTTTAGCCTACATGGTCAGCAGCTAAACGTTACTTTCCCATCACTGAATGCTATCTGATTTGTTGTCCTTGGTCTATAGTTTCTTAATCTTCCTTTAATTGCAGCACACTTTCCCTGGTGAGCTACATTCCTCTTCTTTTTTTAAGACAAACAACACAACAAGAATCCAGCTCCGATTGGGAAAACTGTCCTAGAGCATCAGCAAAGTTTGACCCCCGCCTACATGCAACCTATTTTGAAATCAGATTGCCCCCCGATTTACCTCCACACACCAGACAGCATTAGTCCGCACCAGGGCTGGAGTTGCTAGGCAACTGAAGACACTTGCTGCAGACTGAAATGTTTCTTTGATTCAAGGAAAGATCTTATATAATGCCTTACAGGGGAGAAATTTTATATAATTGCATAAAAATTGTAATTAGAATTAATGTGATATTACACACGGAATGACAGCAGGAGTTGAATCCACACGAAACACTCTTCAGTGAAATATATTTCCCTTCAAGTTACTTTCTTCACATAAAGTAGTCAGAAATTGGAATTGTAAAAAAATCACATGGTACACACCCACACACTTCATAATGATTTACTGAATCGTATTTTAACCACCAAGAGCAATTAACAAATAACTGAAATATGCTATGTTACTAGAAGCAAAGGAAAATGCATAATATTGAGTTAATGTGTGTGGATGGTGCCGTCATTTAATGTCAGAGAAAAATCTGAGAATTGTGAGGATGCAACCCAAGAGTTAAGAACTATTTCAAATATTTCCATACAGTAAAAAGGATTTCATTCATAAGCCGTCACTCATTGTCACATTAGTTTGCTTGTGTCCAAAAAATGCTGCAGTGCTGCACTGCAGCAGCTATCCACTGTGCAAAACATGAGACTATTTCAGTAATATGTTAATTGTGGTTCATCTAGTTAACATAATATGTGGGTAGTCTGAGACACCAGTAATTACCATTTCTATATGCTTCTACGTGCTTCAGAGGCTCCTGGGAAATTACTGAGGTTAAAGGTCGAGTGGTGGGCGCACCATGCTGTGGGTGACCTAGAGAGGCTTCCTGCAAATTAAGTAAAAACTGGCTGTAGGGAAATACGTAACATGTATGTGCCTGGATTATCTAAGTCATGAGTGAAGAAGCTCATAAATATGAATATTTATTATCCAGTGCTGCATCCCTCTCACTGAATCTATCATGAAGATTAATGAATATTATTCAGTCATTCATGACTTACTCTTAGCGCCAGTTTCAAATATGAGTAGACAGCTCCACCTACTGACTATAAGCAGTACTCAACAGCAGGTATGTCATTTGTAGCTTATTCTATGAATTGTTTAAAGCCCATTTTGCAGTTGCAGCAATACTAGTTTTAGCTTCCATCTCAATATTTAAGAATATTTATGGCCTCAGAGTAATAAAATCCATTCTGATAACAGGTTGAAAGTAGTTTGATTCAAATTAATGGTGCTGCAAACTCTGCAGATACTAGAAATATGTATGAAATTGATGTGTGAAAAAACAAGATAGATGAACAAAGTGGATATTCTGAACTATTTAACCCTAATATTTATAATCAAACACCTTCAGCGTTAAAGTGAATGGAGTCTAGTACATCACCACTAGATGTCACTGCATAACCAAGCATGAGCAGAGTTTCCGTTGAATGATGTAAATCAGTAAATATTAATGTTTTCCTGCTGCATATGAAGACATATTGATCCCAGACACACAGGCAGTACAGCTGGTCTCACTGTGACTTTGAAGGAGTTTAATTTACAGTCTGACCTACATTCACCCTGCAGCAAACACTTGTATGTACATCCATAAAAAAAAACTGACACTACCAAAGTTTTGTGTACTTGTTCTTTGAACTATTTATTTACTGTTTGTTTGTCTTTTATAATTAAACATGTATCCACCTCAATGACAAATTGGAGGTCAAGTTATTGGGGAGCAAGGAAATATATATTTTTTTTAATCAGTTCACGTCATCCTGACAGTCTGAAATATACTGCAGTCTAAGTTCTTTGAGGTTGCACATATAAACGTACAGTCTAGGCATATAATGGCCTAAAACTGGTAAAGTTTTACTTCATAAATGTATACATCACGATCTAGAGGTCAATAGTTTCTCTAGTAGTCAAGTTCTTTTGCTGCTCGTCTGTCTTGCTGATAGATTCTTTTCCCATAAAGCGATTGGCATGGCTGCGCTGCAGCAGTAGCAGACACTGGTTCCTCAGCTCTTTATTCATACAGAGCAGGATTATGGGACTGGAGAGTAAAGGCAGGTCCAGCAGCAAATCTCTGACCATCTCCTGACACACAGACGAGTGCTCCATCAATGCAAACACAGCACCTACACACACATTAAAAATGATATAATAATGGTTAGCAAATTCTGCAATGCCTTTGAATTATATTTATATCTATTTTGTGATACAGACCAAATAAGTCTTTTACAACCATTTTTATCTTAAAATGTATATTTATACACTGTAAATGCCTGTATCACCTTTCCCAATACAGGGCAATTTAGTCCTCTATGATAAAGAAAGAAAACAAATAGAAGTCAGGTATTTGTTTTAGCCAAAATGTATGTTCAGTTTAGCTTTACACAACCAGCAAAAAGAGGTAAACATTTTTTAAATATTTTATATATCATAATTGTGTACTATATGCATCAGTAATCTTGTTTTGAATCAGATATTCCTAAGTAGTACTAATGACTTTGACTACAGCTAATCAAATTATGTGTTCTGTGAAGCGTAAAATAGAACTTATAGCAGTATTAAGAAAGTTTGTTAAAATGCTAAGAACTGTTTTTTTTTTATTAATTTGTCACAGGTTTCATCAAACAAATAAATAAATAAATATAAAAGACACATTTTAAATAAATAAAAATATAAACTCATGTCTCAAACTGAAGTTCACAACTCTACTTGACAAGCTAATAACTCAGAAAATAGCATTTATACTTTTGAAATGGTTTAGTTACTTCATACAACACTGGTCGGTTACATAATGCTTTATTTGGGGAGTTCTGCTGATATCAATGGGCACTGTACTGTGTGCTGTAACGTTTCAGTTATTTCACTCACAATATGTAATAGCTTCATGTAGTTTCAAACTACTAAGGATCTTTTTCAGTAAGAAAATTGTCACAATAAAATTAATTTCACATGAAGTGGATACTTAAAACAATATTCACATTGACAGTACACTGAAGGAGTTATTGGTTGCAGTAATTGTTCTTTTTGTCCAGCTGGCTTTAAAGAGACTCACTCAGAGTGATTTCACTGCAAGTAATAAGAGGGGGAAATACACAGTTGTTCTGTGCAAAAATACATTTACTGCAGCCAATATGAGGTTTCACCAGACTGAGATAGTAAAATTAGTAAATTTAGTATTAGTAAAATTAGTAGAATTACAGAAATTTGGCACCAGATTTCCTCCTTATGCTTTCATGGCTGGCTTGCTGAGCTACAGCGGTGGGATTGTAGCACAAACAGGTTATTTTGTAATTTAGAAGAGACTTTAGATACCTACATTTAAAAACTACTAACTGCTGAAGCCTCTTATGAGATTAGGCTGAATTTAGGGGACAAATCCACAGTGCTTTCCCATCACTTTGGAATCAAACTAGGAAGGGTTTTTTTTTAACAGACACACAGGCATATCAATAGTCTTTTACTGTAAGACAAACTAGTGATTCAAGGTCCCCCAAAACCAAGAAACATTTACTTACCAGGTATATGTGCTGTGAAGGTAATAAGAGATATGAGGCTGAACACTTTGGCCAGGTGCACATTGACTCTCTGGCTCCTGTGCATCAGCTTAGCACTCTGGACGATGGTGTGTAGAACGTGAGCATAGAAATACAGGCTTAATGGCAGAAAGACGACAGTCTTGACCAACATGAGGACCCTCATGACTTTGTCATTAATGAAGGAGAAGCAAGTGAGGTTGACAAGATCCAGGTGATCCACATGGCTGCCCAGGATCCACAGGGTCAGCTCCTTTAGCCCCACAGGAAGGAGAGGGAACAGAAGCTGCATGGCCAAGAAAACCCTGCTGTTTACTAGATGCCTGCAGCCACACACCACTGTCAGGTAAATAGAGAAGGTAATGAAGGAGACGTAGTGAAAGGAAGCAGAGCTTGTCAGGTGTTTGGCGCTCACCATGACTTCACATAAACGAGAGCCCAGCAGCCAGCGGCCATGCTGCCTCCAGTGAATGGTCATGGGCCACAGACTCAGGTTGACGAGGTTGCAGCCGGTGCTTCCGAGGATGAACATCGCCACATTGCTCCTTATCTTGCTTCGCTTGCTGAGCAGACTGGCCACCAGGGAGACCAAGATGAAGATGTTCAAGCCAAAGCCAGGGACCAGAAGTAGGACTTTAGAGGAGGCACAAAGGTTCAGGTAGACGGAGACAGCGCACAGGGAGGAAGCCGTCTCATTCATGGCAAACAGGTAATAAAGACAACGGTGTCTGCAAAGGTAGAAGGGATGACTGATTTTCATCTGCGCTACAATTTACTATAAAAGATAAGCCAGTAATACTCTTGGGTAACAAGAGGGGACAGAGAGACAGCTTGTGCAACATGTGAAACGCAGACTCATCCCTCCATCATGTAAACATGTTTTCTTCCTCTGTCTTACCTCTATGTCCAGTCACCTTGACTTTTGCTTCCTCTGAAGTTTATTGTTTCTAAGACTTTCACCCAGTGGACCTAATTACAGAGGATTCAGTTCATAATCCCCTTCCTCTAGTTATAAGCCTCTAATAAAACTGAAAATCTCTGGTTACAGCACACCAACTTGATAAATGGACGCAACCTTTTATTCCTCTTCTTTCCCACTGATTTTAGAGTGCTCCTCTGCTTCCGTCTGATGTTGATTACAAACACAAAACACAATTATTTGTTATATTTTATATTTATGCTCAGAGGGCATTTATGTTTTTACTAGTGATTATTCATCATTACCCCCTCCCTCCCAGCCCTTATCACCATTCTTCTTATTCATTCCTTACTACATACAAGGGGTGCTTCTGCTTAAGTACCGTGATAAGACTTGGATATGCATTCACACTTCAGTCATAATATTGTGTCCATGAAATATCGAGGTTTGTTAATTCTAGGCTGTGTCTAATTTATTACCTTGTGATCTACACGTCATTACCCAGCAGCTTCCTCCAGCTCTACCAGTGCGGAAATAGTCCTAATGAGAGTGGAAAACGTATTTGTTTACTTCTCTGGGGCTTTATTAATGTGACACAGAGTCTGGCTGATTAAGTAGCTAACTACTCTGACATTACCTAAAAGCAACATATAAAAATGGCCTCCATTTCATGAGCACAGTGCTATTTAAATGGAGTGCCCCAGCTACGTAAGCTGTGTGTAGGGGGCACCACCAACAGCCAAATGATCATTAATCATAATAATCAGAATGTTATATAGGCTACAGGACGCTGTGCCTTAGTATTATCATGTTTTGCTGTCATTACGATCAAGCTTGCTTCTCTGTCGTCTCCTCTGCAGGACACACACGGTCACACAGTTTAATGGAGTCGGCGACAACTCAAGTACAAAGCAGAAAAAGTGACATTTCCACCTGCTTTGTCTGCAGTTAATGTGGTTACAAACACAGCACGGACAGCACAGTGGCTCAGTGGTTAGAACTGTTGCTGTGTGTGGAGTTTCTGTGTGGACATGTTCTCTCCATGTCTGCATGGGTTTTCTCCAGGTGCTCAAGGTAGTTTCCCCCACCATCAAAACTTGTAAGTTAGGGTTTCTCCAGTCAGTGCCCTTGGCCAAGGCACTGGCTTAGATCTGGAGTTGGTCCCCGGGCGCTGTACAGTGACTGCCCACTGCTAGGATATGTTAAATGCAAAGGACACATTTCACTATGTGTTGTACTGTGTATGACTGTATATGTGACAAGAAAGTCAATTCTATTTTGATTCTATTCTTCTTTCTGTGTTTATTTTAATTTGTCACAAATATGAGAGGACAGGAGGAAGGACTGATACTGAGTCAGTGTGTTTGATGTCAGGAATATTATTTATTTTACTGATTTGTTTCCAGTGAGATATTATTGAGTTTATATGCTAACTTTGCTATGTATTTAATATTAAAATAAATGCTAATCCTGCTCAGGAGTGTAATGTTAAAAACTACAACTTGTGTGAGTTTATTTAAATAATGATAATGTCTAAAATTATGTGAAAATAGTTTTTAGTCAAATAACATCAACATTTCTTGGGGAGGACCCCGCAAGCACCCCCCGTTGCACCACCACAGCACCTAACCATCCAGGAACCTAAGGAACCCTGATATTGCCCTTTTTAAATAGGCTATGTAATTCAATGTTGGACATGCATTTGCACTGCATGACGTTATTGTCTTGTGTGAGCAAGTGTGTATTTACTAATCATTATGCATGCTCTTGCAGACTCTCACACAGGAGGAGAGGGTAATCCATAATACATATTCACATTCAAATTCAGATTAGTTTAGTGTCCATTAAATTTACATAAAATAGAAATTAGTCTTCGGCACTGGCCTGTGGGACTATGAACACCATACTCAACAACACATAAATTGCAACAAAAGTTCTGGTCAAAATCTGCACTTTCTACACTTTTCAGTTCAGTACCTGGATGTCGAATTAGGCCTTTTTAGCCATGATGATAATGCCAGTCTGTGGCCAGGTTGGTCCGCCACTTTGGTTGGAATATATAATTTATTGGATGAATAAATAATTTCTACAGACATTCATGGTCACCAGAAGATGAATCCTTCCAAGTTTGCTGATCTCATGACTTACATCGCAGCAGTTCAAAACATCAGTGTTTCCAATACTTTGGTTTATGACCCAATACACGACAACAGTGACATTAAACTAACAACTACATCCACGGACAGCAAACAAACAAAAAACTTATTACAAATTATTAGCATCTTCAGAGAGTTGGTGCTAACTGAAGTGCATTTATAAAAGCCCAGACTTTTCAGTGATCATGGCACCAGTAATTGTAGCCATGTGAAGCAATAATGCATCACAGTACCATCCCCGCGACATACCACAGACAGTACAAAACCTGACATTACTATGAGGGCATGAAACTGAAATAAAACCGACAGGCACTGTAACACTCCAGCAGAGAGCAGACTAGTTGAGAAAACAGCTCTCTATACACTGAGAGGCATGAAGGAGAGCACACAGTTAAAGTACCCCAAATAAGAATCACTCTTCATGGTGCTATCACCTCCCTCAATCCATTCTTTGTGAATTATTCCTGATGTAAAGGGTTTTTCCAAAATATACAAGCTCAAAAATAAATAATGAACTGTTGAAGTTACACAGAATATTTTAGAGAATTGATTCTTTGCACACTAATCATTAATACATGTACAATTTGTGGACCTAATAAACACAAGGTGCTTTTTCTATTTTAAATTCTCAACGCTTTTTTGGTCTCATCAGGGTTTGTTTGTTTGTTTGTTTGTTTGTTTGGCATTGCTGCCTGAGCGATTCCAGCAGGCAATCTGGTATAATTGGTCAGCACGAACAGGCCTGTCTAATGCATCAAAGGCCACTGTGCTGTTCACATGGCATCTAATCAGGCAACAGGAGAGATGTGATCACTGAGCAGACAGTGCTGGACACTGCTGCAACTTCGTTGACATGCAGTGATATGTGGATACATGCTGAATCCCTCTTATAAAATGAACACTCTGATATAACTTGCTTTGCTGTTTAGTTGTTTTTTTTCAACCTTACAACCAAGTTGGATATACAGGATACTTAAAATAGTATTGAGGGGGAGGAGGGATGGCAGTGGTCCTGGAGTGTTATTCAGACGTGTATGTAAATGGTGAAAGCTCTCACTTTATGTCCCTGATGGATTCAGCTTCCTCTCCCCCCCTAGCAGTGGGTGCTCTGAAGACTGACAGACAGGCAGACAACAGTGAGAGGTGCTGTTCCTGAAATTGATTGAAAATCAGAGTTGCTTGCAGGAGCATTTTGATCCAAACAGACTGCAGAGCAAGGGGTTGGAGTGATAGAAAAGGGAGATAGAGGAATAGAGACAAACAGAGAGGGAGGGAGACAAGAGAGAGGGAGCACTGTCAGTCAGTCGTGAGAACAGATCGGCCTCAAGGTGACAACTCCTTCCATGAGATGGTTTTCCACCGAGGGTAATGGAGCTTGGGTCTTGTCTCACAAAAAGCAATTTATAGCTAAGCCAACTGAGGTCTGAGAGATACAGAGTGTCAAATATTTTCTGCTACAAATTGTGCTGTGTCAGGCCTGTAGATTTCTACCTGAGGCCCATAACACTCTGCTTGAAACATGCCGCTTGCATGAGAAGTTCAGGTTGTTAGAAACTCAGAAGCAGGCAAACAGTAATAAACAGCTACTTGCCAACATTCCTCTTACATTCAATATACCCCACAGGCTTTATTAATTACTCTTCTCCAGGAAAATCATTTTAGATAGCCTACCACAAGTTCATTAATCACAAGAAGATCGGTTGCTATCATACAGTATTACTGCGGTGTCCTATAGGAGCAGTAAACTCAACATTGCAGTTAATATAACCAGAGTGCTGTTAAGTATCTCATGAATTAATCTTTACCCTAAATCAACCCAAAAGACTCAGATCCCAAAATGCAAAACAGGCTGTAGGAAGAAGAAAAAAAACCCTTTCTAAACCTGCTCTAAACTAGCACTGTATGCATGTAGTGCCATCTGGGGTGGCTGGAACGAGGAATCTAATTTTGATGAGAAGATTATCATCTTGCACCTTAAAACTGACTGGCACTGAGCCAATAAATCCTGACGAGGGTTACAACTGGGCTCTTTCCAAATTCTTGTTTGGACTAAAATCCCAAAAATACGGCTGGCCTGGCTGAATAGGATTTAATGCTGCTTCCAGGGAAATTAAGAGACTTGTGCGGAAATCTCTCAAGCATACACACCACTTTCCAAATCACAGTCTTCTTTCTTTGATCGTCTTGCCAATTTCCTAAGCTTTTGTTTTGAAAACAGACAATGTTGTATGAAATCTCACTCAAGCAGAAGATGGTAGTAAACTCTAAAGAGAGCTCTGATAAACAAAAAAAGTTGACTGCATCTAATGACCGAGTTTTTAAGTATGCGGACAGTATGATATGATTCTATATAGATTGTTATGACTGAGAAACCCAAAGCACTGAATTGTGCTGTATAGTATATACATTATGATCCTGTAGTTTTTTTTTCCATGCCAAACCAGATCCCACGGCTTTTATCTCCTGTCCCAATGGAAGAACTAATTATCAGACAGAAGACTCTTTGCTTTGTCTGACAGCAATTACCAGACTCAGTAATGTGTATTGGTGCTGTTGCAAACTGTAGATTTTGCTGTTGGCTGAAATGTTTGGAGCTATCGGGTAACAAAAGCAGATTCGCCGCAGCACAGTTTCTCATTTGACCTTCAGTCT